GGGACTCTGCACACTCATTGCTGCAGCCAGAGAGAGAACTGGTTCGACCTGTTAAAAAAAAAAAAGACTCTTTTTTTTACATTTGAAAATACCCCAAGCAATCGAATGAAAGGTGTATATCAAAAACAAATTCTCTACAATAACTCCACCTTTTCCTTCCACAAAATGCCACACTTATTAACACATCTAAGCATTACCTGATGGAAAAGAGATCCCATTATCAGCATCTTGCCAAGGCTGATGTCCATGGGAAGCTGTGAGAGAAGGTTTCCAATGGTTGTTACTCCTTCAGCCTCAGTGATGGCAGCATGAGCTTTAAGTGACTGAACTGCATTCTCCAACTGTTCTTGGGCAGGAGGCTCAATGAATGGGAAGAGCCGAACATTGGGGAGGCCCATGGATATCATCTGTAAGACTAATGAGTCTAGCGGGACACGCTGGATTTCTGGGGTACTGTATTGGGAGAACTGAGAATACTCTTGTTCCGTGTACAGTCGGAAACAAGTGCCTGGTCCTGTTCTACCTGCTCGACCTTTTCTCTGTTCGGCGGAGGCCTGACTTATCCAAAATTCCTTCAACTTTCTCATTTTTGACTGTGCATCAAAACTCATTTCTTTAACTTTGCCAGAATCGATGACAAATCGTACACCATCTATTGTTACAGAGGTCTCAGCAATATTGGTGGAGACAATACACTTTCTAATTCCTTCTGGAGGCACATCAAACACCTTTTCTTGTTCTGATACGGACAGAGTACTGTGTAAAGGTAGCACAATCCATTTACCAGTCTGCTGTCCATAAAGCTTAACAGCTTCAACAACTGTTGATATTTCACTCATGCCACTGAGGAAAATCAGCAAATCACCTCGTTCATCATCTGGATACTTCTTGTCAATGAGCTGTAAAATTCTTACATAAGGTGCTGGATTCAGCTTCTCACTCTTACTTGCCTGCTCTATCACCGGGATAGGAAAGTACTGCAGTTTGATGGGATAAAGCCTTCCTGGAACTTGGACAACTGGAGCCTTCCCCATGAAGTAATTCCTAAAGAGATCAATGTTTATTGTAGCAGACATTAGGACAATCTTGATGTCTTCTCGCTGCATTACAAGGCATTTGATAACGCCCAAGAGAAAGTCTGTATGGAGATGCCTTTCATGAATCTCATCAAGAATCATTACATCATACATTGAGAGCAGTGGATCACTGGCCACTTGTCTGAGAAGAAGGCCTTCGGTCAAAAATACAATCTTTGTATGTTCTGTCTTATTCTTTTCAAATCTTATCTGATAACCAACCTTTGAACCAAACTCATTTAATGTTTCATATGCTACACGCTTTGACAATGATATGCATGCTATACGACGTGGCTGAGTACATGCAATGTTAGAATATCCTGCTGAAAGTAGATATTGTGGCACTTGGGTAGACTTACCACAACCTGTGTCACCAGCTATAATCACTACATTGTTTGCAGAAACTTTTGAAATTATTTCATCTTTATAATTTGAAATTGGAAGGTTAGCCTGCATTTCCCTCAACTTTTTCAGCTTTTCAAACCTCTGTTTCTGCAGAAAATCTAAATAAAGCAATATGATGAACTTGAGTTCGGTCAATCTCTTTCTTGACAGACTTCGCTTACCTTCATCTAAATCTCTAATGGGAAGTCTCCTTTGGAAATCATCAGTAGTGACATTAAGAGCAAAATTGATATTGTATCTTTTATCAAAATGCTGAGGAACTTTGTAAACACTACTTACTTCAGCTGTCTCTGTCTCCTCTCTGTACTGCTGATTTCCACACATTTGTCTTATTGTTTTTTGTTTCTGGAGACCTTGGTATTTTTTCAAGAATTTCCAAAAATCATCATATTCAGTTGTTCCTCTTTTGATAATGTCATCATTTGAGAATATCTGATTAATCTCATATCGATAGTGCTCCCATTCAAACATTAGATCATCCTCTGAATCTGAACTTGTACTTCTATTTTTCTCATGCTTGACTGAAGAACCAGGGACTTCATCACCACAATGCCAAGCTACAGTATCCTTAACTTCAGATTTTCTGTCATAACTGGAGGGCAGCTTAAGCGCCTCCCATTCTTCGTATTCTTTCTTCGCCTTTCTTTCATCCTTTTTGTTGATTGGAACCGATTCCTCTGATGAGGATCTCGTTCTTGACCTGGATCTCTTACGTCTTTTTATACTCTGACGATAACTCCCTAAGCTTGAATCTTCACTTGATTCTGAGGATGATCTTCTGGTCCTCTTCCTGATCCTCTCCCGTGATGAATCCATTTTGTAGTGCTTCTTCTTACTTTTTTTTCTGTGCTTTCTTTTGTATTTTCGTCTACGTTCTTCCTCCGACAACTCAGATGACGAGTCCCTATGCTTTTTTTTGTGTTTTCTTCCACGTTCTTCCTCCGACAACTCAGATGAGTCTCTATGTTTTTTTTTGTGTTTTCTTCTACGTTTCCCCTCCGATGACTCAGATGATGAGTCCCTGTGCTTTGAGTGACCCATGTCTTTCAAATCATCAAATTTACTCCTACCACTACTTATGAGTCTTGAAATAGCAAACAAAAAGTATTTTAGAGTTATTCTTTAAATTTCCACTCTTGCCGACACATTGGACACTGCTGGTGAAGCTGTTGAGATTGAAGCCACTTCATAATGCAGTGAATATGGAAACAGTGAGAGCACTGGCCCCACACTAGTGGGCAGTCATCACCTGGCAATCTACAATCTGAGCAGCATCCATCAAAGGGCATCCTACAAATGCCACAACTGTCATCATTAGCCACCCAGCGCCATGTAGCCACTCCCGTCCAGGATTTAATCTTCACCTTCATGACCTGTTTGGATAAGAAAAAGTACCATTTAGGACATCGCAACAGTGTTTTCATGGCAACAAATTAAGGCTAGGAAATATGTTATCTAGTTGTATTGGCCTTATATCTTACATCAATAAAGAATATGAATATCTTTAGTAAATTATCAATACAATCTTATATTGTGTAACTTCCTGCAGCTATTGCAATGTCTCTTACATCCTTCTCTAAACACCAAACATCTGGTTAATAGATAGTCTGCTATAAAATTACAAAAATATATGCCAATCACAGAGTTTATTATAATCAATATAATATTACTGTGGATAATGTATGTCTCGCATACAACAACCACAATACTCATATGTATGTACTATTCTAAAGCTATTGGTTTTCCTGGTATAATTCCTTCTAATATCCTTTATGAACTTCTGTATTTCTGGCACCTTCTCAGTCAAAGGATGAAATTTAAACACCAATGTCCTTTCATATGTCTAAGGAACAAATAATTTCTGCATTAGATTAGGTTTTTTGTTTGGCACATTGTCCTATAGGCCAGAGAACTCATAAAGTAATATTGGTAAGATATGCAAAAATTATTTCAATTTTGACAGTAGACAAATCCTACTAAACCCAAAAGAACCTGATTCAACACCACCAATAAAAGTAAACATAACTTCAAAAGATTAGCAGTGATGTTTTGTGAGCTTTTATATTGCTGTTTTATATCATACAACACTACATGCCACAATCATGTTTGTTGTTAATGCTCAGAACAACTATGCTCTTAACAAAGGCTTGTGAGTTGATGTTAGACAGAGCACAGAACAACACTATTGAACATTATGAAATTGTATGAGGCTTACTTACATTCATTGTTACATCTTACTCAGTGTCAGAAGCAGATGCTTCAAGAATTCAACCTACAGTGATATGCCTTGCAAGATGCCAACAGTGAAACTTTCTGCCATGCACTATGCATTCTAGCAAAAGGATAACAAAACTTCCACCATCTATTCTGCCAAGATAGCTTGTAGATCACCCTAGTGATTACAGAACCAATCTAAAGGAGTGTTATACTAGTCTTGATTCTCCATGGTTCCCTTACATAGTAGAAAATGGTTATAGCAACTGTTGTACTTTTATGTATGCCGGGGATCCCCTGACAAACACGCTGAGTGTCTGGTCAGGTAGAGGGGGGGATTGGTCACACTCTACACAGTGTTCCCTGTAGAGAAAAATCATCCCAGAAAAGACTATAATGTCTACAATAACCTCCTAAATAACCTACAAATCCAAGTCAAGAATTCTATGAACATCATCACATATTGACTGAAAATTTTCTAGAATCTTTTTAGAAAAGCAGTCCATCCATTTAGATAATCATCATACAACCATCCCAGTAACCCCGACATCCTCTGTTTCAACATAAACAATAAACTTTCCTATACCTTATACTGCAATTAGTGTAACCCGTAGTGTGCAAGAGATGTAATTATGGACTGATAAAACCTAAGGATAACAGGAAGCAAATACTATAACTAAAATTGAGTACAAAAAATTCAATTACAGCAAGTCCCCAACTTATGGACATAATGGGGACCGAGAGGCTGTTCGGTAGTCGATTTGACCATATGTCGAAAGTCGGGTCTCCATTGCCTTTTTCCCCATTGTTTTAGTTTTGTTTACATTAAGAATACCTGTACATAAATCCCAATAAGTATGACATACCTTATACAGTACCTGTAATAAGTAATGCTTTCAATATCATTTGATGCTGATTCATACAACTTTAATGTAGAAACATAATTTATTCAAAAAGAAAATATATAGTAGTGGTGACTGGCAAATAAAAAACTCTGGCAAACAATGGCAGCGCGCCGACTTTGAAGGCGTGAGTTCAGTACATCAGGCCGAATCCCTGGCTCGCCGTTGCGCACTGCGGCGTACAGTCGCACGGCACTTTTCATGCGGTTTCATTTCACACTTAGCAGCATCACCCGTCGTGAAAGGGTTAAAAAGAAAATATATAGTAGTGGTGACTGGCAAATAAAAAACTCTGGCAAACAATGGCAGCGCGCCGACTTTGAAGGCGTGAGTTCAGTACATCAGGCCGAATCCCTGGCTCGCCGTTGCGCACTGCGGCGTACAGTCGCACGGCACTTTTCATGCGGTTTCATTTCACACTTAGCAGCATCACCCGTCGTGAAAGGGTTAATATTACTCCATGGTCATTTATACAACTTTAAATGTAGAAACATAATTTATTCAAAAAGAAAATATATTGTAGTGGTGACTGGCAAATAAAAAACTCTGGCAAACAATGGCAGCGCGCCGACTTTGAAGGCGTGAGTTCAGTACATCAGGCCGAATCCCTGGCTCGCCGTTGCGCACTGCGGCGTACAGTCGCACGGCACTTTTCATGCGGTTTCATTTCACACTTAGCAGCATCACCCGTCGTGAAAGGGTTAATATTACTCCATGGTCATTTATACAACTTTAAATGTAGAAACATAATGAAAGGGTTAATATTACTCCATGGTCATTTATACAACTTTAAATGTAGAAACATAATTTATTCAAAAAGAAAATATATTGTAGTGGCGACTGGCTGGTGAACTGACTAATAAGATCCATAAAGTTATAGCCTGACTTTCTTGGCAATTCCACTGGCTTCACCGTTTATCTTTCTCTGCGCACCCAAAATTTTTGATGGATTGATGCACAGGTAAAGCGAATTATGGCACAAAAATTGTCGGTACACAAGGACACAGTGAAGAGAGGCTTTCGTGTTTATGGCGGGAGGGCAGGCGAGTGATGGCACAGCTGAGTGAGCACGGTGGCACCGCGGCGTGGCAGACTCATGCTCTATTCACACCTGGGAAATTTGAAGTTTGCTAGCATCTTTCAAACAATTTTTTTGACTTAAGTATTTTTTTAAAAAGTTTGTATGTACGGTATGTGCGTAAGTAGAATGTTCTTAAATAGGGGACTATCTGTATTTATTGTGAACAGCCTTGCCAGCACTGTGGTTTATGCTCGGTGCTATACTGTGCGGGAATTTTCGTTTTTGCTGGTGTGCAGCGTGACAAACAATTGCCACCGATAAATACATATCAAATCTAATCTTCTCTATACCTTGTCACAAACATGTCCAGGAGCAAGCATCTTGAAACTCATCACTAAAGTGTAGAACCAAGACCCTCGCCTGCAACACACGCCCCTACATGCACTCCACCAACGACAAGCCAACTGGACGGAGCAAATGCGTCTCGTCTACTGCTATATTATCTCTCAGTGGTTACCGTGTGGGAAGCGCATCACCGCCACTGGTTGACTCAAAATTGACATACATATTGCTCTTACTCTGTTCTTATGAAGATGTTTAATACACAGCAGTGATATAATTGGCTTTAGGTGTGGTTGAAAGGGTAAATCCATCTAAAATTATGAATCTGTTTCCATATTATTTATAACGCCGAGGAAGCGTCTCGCTGATCTTAACATAAGGAAGAAATAAAATGTTAAATCGTTACCTGCTAAAGATTATCTAAAGGTCAATCTTCACCAGTTTCTTGCTTAAAACCGAACATACACACTAAAATCCTGGCCTCAAGCGCTGTCGGAAACGTTTCTCGCGAACCGTTTGTTTACATGAGCGCGTTCGCACGACCTGCATCCGCGCGAATCCGCAAACGACCCGCGATGACGTCATCATTTTCTAATTTCTGTTTTTCTCACTTTAATTTTTAGTTTTACTCATTCTCTTGTTGAGGGGAAAGTTATATCTTGCTAAGACAGGTAAGTGCTAAATGATGCAATATCGTAATGATCCTCGGCTCCAGATACCGACTCGAAACCACCTGGTGAACAAACAAGATAAGTGCACTGACGTTGAATGTTCTGTGGAAGCAGAGCCGGAGTTTTCACAGGCTGGTAGCCTCACGCCTGACGTTTGGTCTGGGAGGCGCACACGACACACAACATTATGGAAGAGTAGGAAGACACTGTACAAATCTTTGAAATACGTTAAAAAATAATAACAGGCAATGGTATTAGCATTTTCACTCCCTGGCTTCTCAGATATTTCTGACAATGATGTGGACTCCTGTTTTGATTCTGAAGACAAAATAGAAGAAATAGACCTGGATGTTGACAGTATGGTTGAGAAAATTATGTACATGAAGTTCTGCCAACTGAGCCCATTTCATGCTTCGCCCACACTGCACCTTGTGGTAAGGGGTGGTCTACGAGAAACAGGGCAACGAAACTTGGCTCTCAATAAAGCCTCAAAGTTTGTATCTTTTGTAAACAAATCTACCATTGCCGCTGATGTTATGGAAGGTGAGAAAAAATGGATTCTGTTTGTGCTACACAATGGAATTCCAAAATGCAAATTATTATTTATGTTGAGTATTCCTGAACAAAAATTAAGCATCATAGATGGTGCACCAGCACTGAGTGTGTATGATTGTAATCTACTTAAAGACACGCCAGAATTTTTTGAGCCATTTGAGGCCACAGATTGTGCACAGAAGTAACCCATCGTTTCCGCAAGCCTGGCCATACCTTGCATTAGGGGCCTCAAATTTCATCTAAACCATGTGGAATCAATGTATAACTCTACCTTATTTGTTTATGAGTTAGCAAAAAATATAGACCAGCGGTTTAAGTTCGATTGGTGCAATGATACAGAGGAAAGAGACCTTAGACCGACTCAGCAAAAGCAGTAAAATCCTGGTGAGGACATTCATTTCCACGCATATTCATGCACAGGAGTCAACATCCACGAATGAAAAGTTGCAGTCAATCAACATTCACATCGACTGTCATCTGAGCCTGCCTAGCAAGGGAGGTGACACTGATGTGTTGGTATTTGGGAAAGAACACAGATATACTCTGCCTGCCGTACCTAAGATGGCTCAGAAATATTTGGCTGTACCTGCATCTTCTGCTCCCGTTGAAAGGCTTTTCAGTATTGCTGGAAAAGTGTTTAACTCTAACAGATATCGGCTGACTGACAAAAACTTCGGAAGTGTGATGTTCATAAAGTGCAGTGATGATGCACCCTAGAAAACATACTTGTGTGTATTGATTATTTCAAGTAAATTATTTATTTTCTTTACCTTGTTCAGCAGCAAAAAATAGAACAAAAAGTTATCAAATCCTACTTCGAATTTCATATGCCACAAAAAATCCATCTATGTATTATGAAGTATTCTATGATTACTTTTGAACTACAGGAAAAGTCCCTAAAGGAAAGTTAAACAAAAAGTTGCACATTGAGTCTCATGAAGAACAAATTCATGTTCAATAAAATCGGCTTCATATATCTGCTATTCTTAGTTATAAAACTATATCATTAATGCAGAACGAGATACAATTTTTAATGCCCTGAAGCCTTTATTTGCCACATCAATTTTAGTTATTACAGATATGTGAAATATATGGATAGTCTTTTGCATAATTATTTGTACAACATTTTCATAAAGTCTATGCTATTGTTTTGCAATTCTGTGATAAAAGAAGTGTTGTGATAAAATGAAGGTAAAATTTCCATATACTTTTTATATCGAATTCCAGTTTTTAACAGTGTACTCATTCATGTGTAATAAGAAAACTACTGAAGTTCGTGCTTTACGAAAGTGCTTGTACTTGTCCTTAAGTACAGTGACATGGACTTGGACCTAAGAACATAGCAAAGAACATGTATATATATATATATATGTGTGTGTGTGTGTGTGTGCGTGTACATAGGTATATATATGTGTGTATATATATATATGTATGTAATATTTTCTTATTTATACATCTATTCATTCATATTTTTTTCTTTTTTCTTTTTTTTCCATCGCCGATGTAGTTGACTGGGTCTTCATCCTGGGATGGCTGACCAATGATCCTTCCCCAGGGGAGTAGTTGGTTAGGTAATCATTGTTGGTGGTTCTCAACCCACCATCTTATCTACAAAAGACTCACCCATCACTAAATCGCGCGGGCGACGTATGTGTGCATAAATGCGCACACACTCACACTTGTGTGTATGTATGTATATATATATATATGTGTGTGTGTGTGTGTGTGTATGTATATGTGTGTGCCATAATTTTGTAATTATCTATCTACTAACTATTTGCAATGAATCAAGGATAGTTCATACGAATAAAAGGCCACAGTAGAAAGAAATCTGGAAACTTCTTTATTTGATGCTATGAGACATACTGAGACAGACGAATCGTTATCTTACACGAGGTGTGACGCAGCCGGGAGAGCCGGTGACACGGGGGCAGTTTATTGTTGCTCTATTTACACACATACGCACACACTGTCAGCAGTATTTTTGTGATTATCTATTTACTTTGAAATCCAAAAATCTCCAAGCATGTGCTGAAATCATAAGGAAATGATAATATGTGTACAAGGGAAATTCTCTCATTTGCAATACTAAGAAAACACAAACTCACAGTAGAGTACGATACAATTAATCTCCATGGTTACTCTGTAAAACATGAACATTTGGCAACCCTTCGCCATGGATTCCTCTCAGATTCTCCCTCTAACATAATTTGACGTTTTCAAAATGAACCTACCAAGTGGGTTGTAAACTTCACCATTCACTAGCGGAGCAGCCCGGGGAAACTAGACTGCTGGTAGTGGTGTGATTTTCAGTTCCTTTCGTCCCAACTGTTGGGGCCAAGTGAAACTATTATCATATATGAACTTACGAAAAAAAATATCTAGGGAATAAAGTGCAATCAATTGATCTCTGCTGCACATCTTGGCTTATTGCATGGAACTGATTTTTTTTTATCCAGCCTACGATGCCATTTGGCACAAGACAGCATCCAGTCCACATTTGTGCCACTTACACCAATAAAACCCGCTTTAAGTTTGTGAAGACCTGGGCCAGGAATCAAAAGAACTATCCTCGCACACGTGATTCCTCGTCAGGGGGAAGACCATAGTAATTATACCAGCAGCTTGTGCAATCAGCTGGTCGCCTGACTCAGCCGGGGTCCGAATGACAGGATCTCCACTACAGCCACAGGGATGCAGGGCCAAGGAAGGGGCAGGGCGTGGGTGTGTCCGTCCTCCTTAGGTTAATGTGTCTGGCTAACATATATACATACATACGTACATGTGCATGTGTATATATACATACATACATAT